ATGGCTTGGATCTTGTCCGCTAAGGGACGAATGCCTTTCGGCGTGACAAAATGACCCAAGTACTCAAGCTCTTGCTTGGCGAACTCGCACTTGTCAAGATTCGCTTTGTACCTGGCTAGTCGCAAACGATCCAGAACAACGCGAAGGTGTACGATGTGCTCGTCCAACGTCGGACTATAAACCAAGATGTCATCGAGGTAGATGAGGACGCTGCGATCGAGCAAGTCGCGAAACTCAGTCGTCATCGCTGCTTGGAAAGTCGCGGGGGCATTGGTGAGGCCAAATGGCATGACAACCCACTCAAAATGCCTGTACCGCGTCTTGAACGCGGTCTTGTACCGGTCTTGAGGCTGGATTTCAATCTGGTGGTAACCTGACGTCAAGTCCAACTTCGAGAAGTACGTCGCGCCGCCTAACCGCTCAAGAAGATCATCAATCCGAGGGAGAGGGCCGGCGTTCTTTACGGTTTGTGCGTTAAGTTTGCGATAATCGATGCATAATTGTGGATCTTTGTTCTTCTTCCAGACGAAGAGAACAGGGGCACCGTAGGGCGAACAACTAGGGCGAATCCAGCCCTTGTCGAGAAGGTCATCGAGTTTTGCGCGAAGCACCTCGAGTTCCTCTTCGCTCATGCGGTAGATACATTCATGCGGAAGGACGGCGCCAACCTCGAGAGTGATCCCGTGACGTATGGGCCGATCCGGAACCGTTCCGGTGGGAGCCTCGAAGACGTCTCCATACTCGTCCAAGAGGTGAGTGATGCGTGGGTCCGGCGGTGACGTGGCTGGTCCGTCCGGCGAGGGGAGGGCGTGCAAGAATACAAGGCCCATCTCCTCGACGTCATTTCGAGCTATGGCGTCGCGAATTCTCGCAACGGAAACCACATGACAAGCAATCGAAGTGTGAGGGGTCGCGATCGTACATGGGACTAACTCTCCGTTCCGATCACGGATGTGAACGGTTCGGTCATGAAAGTTCACCGGATGATCGGCGCTACGCAACCAAGACATGCCTAGAATCATGTCGAACTTGGTGTCGAGGATGTCAAAAGACACCGGCTCGCACGCAAGTGGCGCAAAGTATACCGGAACGCCGTCGACGCGTCGGTCAATTGACTTTTGCGTGCGGCCGTCCGCGAGCGTAACTTGCGTAGGTTGCGTCATCCTTCGAACGCGCGGGCCAAGACCTGCGCGGGCCATAAAGGCTTGGCTCATAAAGTTGCGAGACACTCCACAATCAATCAAGGCACTACAGGTTGCCTTTCCGATTTGAATGCGGATATAGAGCAAAGGAGCGTCGGTTTCGGCGTACCTTTGGGTGGTGTACTCGCGGTCGATCTTCGCAAGATAGGAGTGGAGATCGACAACCGCTACTCCGTCGTCCGTCAACGGAGTTGGTACTATAGTGTGCAAATAGGAGCGTAGATTTGCCATTAAGGCGTTGCAATGCGGCCTTGGCAAGGTTCCGATCGAGGGTAGAGGCATCCAAGCGAAGTCCTCTCTCGTGAGTGGGTCAAGCTCCTCAAGTCTTGACCACGCCGTCGAGTCCTCGGAAATCAGTGGCGAACTGACCGGATCACTTGCCGACGGTGTGCAGGCTGCGCATACGCAATCTAAGTGCACGTGGCTTGACTGGTCTAGTGGTGGTACCAGCTGGGCGGCATAATCCTCGTACGTAGCACGAGAATCAGCGACTAACGCATGCTCCCCGGTAGTGACATCGATTGCTAGCAAGGCAACCGGTTCCGGCGGAGTGAGGAGAGGCGTCGCCCCTCTCCTTGCGTAACTCAGTTTTCCGAGTTAGCTGGACGGTGTATGCGTGCTTTGCCCTTTTCGGGGCATTGTGCGGTCAAATGAGTGACTCCATTGCACCAAAAGCAGTATCCGTACTTTTGACGAAGGTCATAGACATCCTTGGTTATCTTGTAAGCCGTCCATGGCTGCTGCCCAGTTCCGGTCGATGCCGTCTCTTGTGTCGCCTTGTTCTTCCGAACTCTCTTGGGACGCTTCGGCGGGAGCGCTGCTACAATTCCTCCATCACTCGAGGATGCTGCTGCAGCGTGGAGATCGACTGTTTCTTCCGAAATCACGGCATTGTTTTGTGTCGGTCGTTGATAGCCCTGCTTAGCCACATAATGCGGCTGGGACTGCCGTTCGTTAGCGGCCTTGTCATCCGTTTGGATGACCAAGTTCGCACGATCCAGGATAGCCTGGAATGAAGCGTAATCGTAATCGTTGCCGAGTGCGGTTTGCAGTCCTGCGCACGATCGCGAGAAGAACTCGGATCGTTGATTCGTAAAGCTCAAATCGAAGCCTGGCGTGGTCACTATCTTCTGCCACTTGATTGTCCAGTCTCGAGTTGGCATGCTTCCTTGTGAGCATGTGTAGACCTCGTTCATGGCCGCCTTTACGACGTTGCGGACCATGAAGCGAGTGGACCACAGCTGTTCAAACTCCTCCCACGTAGGTGTTTGTGTAGCTCGGCGATCGTGGTCTTCTTGCTAACTGCGAGGTGGTTCATCCATGATTGTGCCCCTCCAATGAGTTGGAGGTATATGGCCTTCATCATGTCTTCGGCTGGGACCTTGTGGCATGATGCTTCCGTGAGGAAGGCTTGCCACC